ACACACACACACACACACACACACACACTCGTTTTCTTTTTTCCTTTCGTTATCGCAACTCACCTGCAAATTGGGCGGACAATGATCCAGCAGCTCCAGCATATGCTTTATATTCTGCGCATCCTGTATCACAAAATTCAATTCCATATCGAATTCGCCGCCGACGAGCTACATGAAAATAAAAATACCAAGAGCAAAGAAGAAAAAAACATGTATTTTAATTAGTATTTTATTTTTTAGACAATCAACAAATCCAATTATTTGGATATTCGATATTCAGTTCATTGTGGCTACAAATTATTTCGTAAGGCTGCCACGGCTAATGAGCCTCAAAAGTGAAATCAAAAACTGTTATACAAAAAAAAAAATAAAGTATAACAATTACGGCAGATAAATAATTGTGGTATCATATATTTGTATACATACATTTTTTTTTTTGTAAATTAGAAAAACAAAACTGGAAACTGTTATACAAAATGATGTTAAAACTGTTTTATATACAGTTAATGCTGATAAGGCGCAGCGCGTTTATATTATTATATTAAATGGGTCAGAAAGTAAAAAAAAAACTGTTATACAAACTGTTATACAATTCAGAGGTTTAGTTAAAGGTAAGTAATTCTCAGAGTTATGGCCGTTTTTATTAATAAAGTATATAAACAACTGCTTAAATTGAAACTGTTATACAAATTTACTTTGCAGGTAATTATGTTCCCTGCATTTAAAATAAACTCAAAGTTATGTTATGGGGAGATAATTTGAAAGATTTATGCTCTAAGGATTGAAACTAATCCAGAGTATATTTGAAAACAAACTGTTATACGAAACTATAATGTGCAAAAACTCTGACTGTACAACGGTAACTGAAGCTTGGCAGCTTAACTACTATTACAAATTCAACTAACTTTAATGGAAAATCAAGTAAAGCAGAAAACCCTTGCACAAGGATGATGTAGAGATTCAAATTCCACTTTAGGGTGGACCCATTCTAATTGAAGTTGGCTAAAAGCAAGAAATTCATTGCGTATTTGTATAACATTTCACTTTTAAAGAGCTTTAAGAACTTGCAATTTGTGCAGATGTAATAAGCCAGCAAATGTTGGTCAAAAGGTGTGAGATGGGCAGGGGGAGGTGGAGGAGAAAGGGGAGGGAGGGCTTTATTATACTGGCTGTAACAATTTAGATGCCTGCAGGCATTTAGCACTGAAAGTTGTTAGGCTTTGGCTAAGTACGTATAGATGTTGGCTGGCCAGGCGGCGGTTGGGGCAGGGGCGTGGCCGAGAACGATTCTGGCAAACGCAATCAGCGCTTCTTTCACCAGCAGAGTGAGCCGGGCCGGGCCGGGCCGGGCTGGGTGGATGGGTGAGATGGGTAGAGCACAGCAGAGAGAGTCTGTAGTAAAATTGTGGAAAGGTTCTAACTTAATTACGATAGGCCCCAGCCTCACTCTAGCTTCATAGGAATATATATATATTTATACATATATATATATACATGTTTTTTGACAGCCAATTGAATCGGCAATCGAATTTAGCCACCCCCCCACTCCCACTCCCACTGAGCCGTAGAGCTTTTCGTGTCAATTCATTTGATGCTTTTTGCGCGCTTTAATAAAATCACCAAATAAATTCAATAAATTGATTTGGGTGACGCAAAAAAAAAATGGACGAGGAATGAAGAAGGCAGAAGCAGAAGCAGACTCGACTTCGACTTCGGCTACCAAGTGACTCGCTCTATCCGCTCTCCGTTAAGTCCCTGGGCTCCACGCTTTGTGTTGGTCGCCTTATTTATTTACTTTGTTTTCCTCTTTATTTTTGTTGCTTTTGCTTTTGCTGTTGGATATGGTTGGGGGCTTAGTTGGCGTCTGCCAGCTGGGCGCCAGTCTCATCCCTTTATCAACAGCCGTGAGCTGGCATCTACCCACGCGTTGTCGCCGCCGTCGCCGCCTTCAATCTGGACCCTAAGCCAGTTGCACTTGAGCTGCTTGATATGAACAGCTTTATAATTATGCTTGCCTTGCCCCATCTTTGCATCAACCGCAGGCTGGTGGTTGCTGTGGTGCCGCCACACCCACACCCACAGCCACGGCCACAGCCACAGCCTCAAGTCTCCAGCCTTGCCTATTGTGGCATGAAGATATCTTATCACCTGGCTCTAAATGAAATCAAAGCGACAGCTGCCGCAGCTGGGCAGCTGCTTATAATGCTAGATAAGCTGTGCGACAGCGCCAACAACAGCTTCGTCTGATAGACTAGACAATACCCTGTGCTGGGAGAATAGACGTGCTACTGTTATACATCTGTAATACTGCTGTGTGGCTTGCATTGATTGTACATTATTGATTACATTAATTGGAGTGCGGCGCGAGACATCTATTAATTGTTATACAACTGTTATATGGCATATACTTTGTTACTGTTGTGAAGATGAAATATAGATATAATCGATTCCAGCATTAAAATTACGGCCAAGAAAATGTAATACAACTGTTATACAGCTGTAATACAACTGTTATACAGCTGATATATTACTCTGTAAGGCATATGATATTTTTGCAAAGGTATAAGAGAGCTTAAGTTCAATACACCATTCAAATTAACTGTTATACAATTATTTGAAAAATGTTATACACATTTAACGTAGCTTACACTTTTTGGCAGGCAAGATTATACATATGTTTCATATTGAAATAAATCTATAACAGAAAAAAAGTGTTATACAACTGTTATACATCTGTTATACTGCTTTGTTTTAGCCACTTGTCTATGAGTTGATCTAGACATCGGCAAACTCAAACTCAATTTAGCTCAATTTAAGATTCACTTAAGTGTATTGCTTGGCGATAATTATTTCGAAGTCTTGTCAAAAATAAATGTCAGCAACAGCGTCAAATCGCGTTTAAAGTGTCTCTCAAAAAAAAAAGAAGCAAAACAATCAACAAATCATAAAAAAAAGAAACGGAAAAAAATTGAGACGAAATTCTCATTCAGATTTAAATTAAACTTTTGCGGAAAGTTTTTCTTTTCGCCTGTGCGCGGGCAAACAATTAGGCAAACTTCTCGCGCTCTTTACAAGCGTTCTAAACGCCGCTTAATTATATTCCAGTATTTTTTTTTTTTTTTTACTTTTCGCTTCTCTTTTTAGCAATGGAGACTTTAACTGAAATTCCCCAGCGAAATCGCTCTCACACTCTGTCTCTCTCTCTCTCTGTCTCTCTCTCGCTCTCTCTCTCTCTCTCTGTCTCTGCTCGCTACGCACCTTTTGGCTAGCACATTTAGTCAATTTTGAGTTCATTTAAAAAGTTTTTTCGCTCTGCTTTTCTTTTTTGTCTCTTGCGCTGGCAGATATAGTGACAGAAAGAGTGGGCAAGGGAGAAAGAGAGAGAGAGAGAGGGAGAGAGAATGTAAGAAGCAGAAGCTGTCACTGACGTTTCGCTGCTGCTTGTCACCTCGTCGCGGCAGAAGCGCTCTCAGATATGCCCAGCCCCTTGGCACTTGTTCCGCTTTCAAGCTGCGTAAGTGTATGTGTATATGTGTGTGTGTGTGTGTGTATGTGTCAAGCTGCTCTTGCTGGTTGTTTCTGTCGCTTATTTAAAGTAAATTGAATTTCTATTTATTTAAAATGCGCATTGAGACGCACTAAAAGTTCTTAAGCATTTTGTATGAGCGGCGTGGCTGGGGGCGTGGCTGGGCTGGCCAGTGGGTGGCTGTCTGATAGCAGCTGTGCCGAGGCTAGAGTTGCTGCACGCTGAAAATTTAGCGTAAAGGTGTAAAAATTACATTTAACACTCAATGCCAAAAGCAAATAGAAAGCGGAAAAGAGTAAGCGGGAGAGAGAGTGTGAGGGGTGTGGGCACGAGCGAGAGGGTGAGAGCCGTAGAGCGCCCTCTGTGTGCTTGGCCTTTGTATTTGACTTTCCTCATTGCCGTTGCCTTTGTTAAAGTTTTTTCTCTCTTTTTTTTTTTACTTTCATTTTATTTTATTTTTGTAATTCAATTTCACTTTGCAGGTGTCGAAGTTGACTTAAATTGCGTTAGCTTCCATTGTGAAAAGGCCAAGTGTGTGTGTGTGTGTGGGTGGGTGGGCGTGGCATTGAGGCCAGCTTGCCACAATAAAAAAGCAACCGCAGCTAACAATAGCCAAAAAGCCAGATATTTAGAAGCTGCTTAGAGCCATTGCCAACCGAGAGAATAAACCCAGAAAACGAAGTCTAGACAAAGCAAATCCGTTAAAGGGGGCTGACGGCTCTCAGCCCAATTTTCGTGTAGTCTAGTGCTACGATATGGGCTTACTTTAGGCTGTTGCAGTTTAGTATAGAGAAACTCTAAGCTAAATACACATTAACTCTCTCTCCCTCTCTCTCCCTCCCTCTCTCTCTCAAGTTTAGAGTTTGCAATATTCAGCTGAAGATTTGCTGCAAGTCCCAGATGGTTTTTGAGTCCCGGCTACAACTAAGATCGCTGTGATACACTTTTCTCCAGAGGGAACGCAATGAAAATAAACGAAGGAAAATGCACAAGGAAAACACACGAATTTCCATCACAAAAATTTGGTTGTTTTTTCTGCTTTTGCTTTTGCTGCTGCCGGCGGCAATCAACTAACTTTTCTCTAGCTGCCAGCAGAGATGCCCCCCTCGCCCTCTCTCTCTCTCTCTCTCTTCTTTCCCTGCTGTAACAGGGAAGACAGAGTGTAAACGAGTTCCATGTTTTTCTTAGCGGGTATCTGCAAGTCGTGCACACCCGACTGGAGCGCCTGTTTCATGGGCCTCAACTAGAGCTGCGTATGTGAAATGTCTGCCCAATGCTAATGCCACTCTGATGCTTTATCACAATGCTTTATCACTGTCGGTCCGCCTGCCGAACGTTTTCCCCTTCTTCCCATTTTCATGTCCAGCCTCTAAAACTCACGCCCTTCGCTAACTCCATTTGCCACTATCTAACTACCTCCCGCTCTCTCTATTGCTCCCATTCGCTGTCCTCCTTATAACATACTCTCGCTGACTCGGTCTACTTTTTATTTTTCTACTTTCGCTCGGCTTTTGTGGTATTTCTTTACGGCTGCGGCCGTCATTAGGGAATATTCGCAAATTTTTTGTTCTTCTTTTTCGTGGTTAAGCTTTTAAAACAGTTTTTTGTGAAAAGTAAACGCTGAGTCCACGCTGAAAACCCT